ATTATTATTATTATTATTATTATTATTATTATTATTATTATTATTATGTTTGTGCGCAAACTGGGTACATCCAGTTTCAAAAAACCATTTGTGCAAGAAGCCCTGCCATGTTTTAATTTTCTTTGCATAAGCTTCAAGGCTGTACAAATCCTCACTTTAAGCCCACGTTTTGTTTTCAGTTGCTATAATGAACAGCTTCACTTTAAAAATGGAATTTGAAGAATTGATGCAAGACACCATTGAATTTGATCTTATACTTCATTTTAGAATGAAATATTAAATATTATTTTTTATATTTTATCGTTAATCCCAGCATTTTTTATTGTTTCTTCTGAATACAAAATATATATTTGAAACATCATTTGCATTTTTTTTCTTTTTTTTAATTTGCCTTTTTTAGAAAATCAAAAATTTGGGGGGGTTATACTTGATAAATCCCTTTCCCCATTTCAAACCTTCATTAAAACGACTGATATATAAAGACACATTTTAATCACAAGTGGAATTAATTAATACAAATTATACCATTGGATATGATTTGTATATATGTGTACTTTTATGCCAGCTCAATATCTTTGGAAAAGTTACTGGGTTTTTAAAAGCTGAACTTAATCCTTAAATGATGAAAGAGGATATTTTAGAAATCTCTTAAGATATTCATTTTCCGGCTTAAATAATACAGGCAGGCAAAAAGATACACACAATTATGCAGTGAAAGAAACTGAACAAAGCCCTAGAGAATGAATGAAGTAGGAAATTGTGAGATATTGGGGACTAATTTTAGGATTTGCTGTTTTGCAACACAGTAGGAAGAAAAGTCTATAAAGGATTGACATAAAGAACAATTATTAAATGTAGTTGCTTTAAGTGACACTTTCCACTAAAGCCATTTTAGACAAATTAACTATTATTAGAAGTAAAACCACAGTGTTTAAATATTGGGTATCTATGGAAATAGTCTTTTTTCCCTCCCTTAAGGTAAAAAGTTAAATAGGTGAGTTTATCTTCAAAGGCTTAGTTGCTATTTTTATAAATGCAGATTTCTTTTAAAATTCTTCTTTATTTGAGAACTCTTTCACAAAATTCAGAAGAGCTCAGTTTTAAAGGACAACCCTGATTTGATACCCCAAAGTAGGACTGCCTTCAAATGTAAAAGGAACAGATTTGTTCTTATTTTTACTCACAACATAATTCTCTCATGGAATAGAGGGTGTTAATTCAGTAGGAAGACCTGTATTGTCCTGCCCATATATTTATGTAATTCACATAGACCTTTCAACCTTACAGAAGAAAAGCATGCCTATATTTCCAGGGGACATAGCTTATAGTGTAATATTCCGGCTTGGAAAACACATTGATCGGTCTTATTCAGAGGTCAATTTCACATTAACCAATTTTCTACTGGGATATCATGTACATCATTCTAGACCATTGTATTTACCACCAATATGAAGTGAATATTTACCTCATAGTAAATAAACAGTTTATAATTTATAAATCTTTTTGACAAAAGATTTTATGGTTTTCTAGTCATGTACTGTATATAGTGAAATCTGTGTGTCATCATCATACATATCATGTATTATAGTGTAGAGGAAACGGTGGACAGCAAAGAAATAGATGAGAAGAGCTGACCTATTGGGTATGAAGCCCTGTAACTCATGTGTTACTCTCCAAAGACTAAGCAAACTTGCAAGTGGAATTTACGGGGGTGGTGGGGTTGGGGGTTGGTAAGTAAAACAAACAATGGGAAAATCCTAAATGTTAACCTTTTCCCATGTTGAACTATTTTAATATATCTTCTCAACTGGTAGATAATAGCTGAAGCCTTTTAGGTCACATGACTTTGCTTGCAAACTTGTTGGGAAGTCACAGAAATAAAGTGACTGGATACCTATGCCATTGTGTAAACAAAGCATCATTCTAAATTAACAAACAACAGATTTTTTTTTTAAAAAAAATCCTTTACAAAGAGATGAATATTCAATGTGTGTACCATAAGTTGATTTTAAGTATGACAGGAATATTATTTGCTAATATATTTCTTTTTTTTCTTTAGAATCAGAATCTAAAAGAATCAGAATTGTAAACGTTAAAACACAATTGAAAAATATAGTATCGTAGCAGGACAATGCAGATTATAAATATAAAATGTGTAAATGGACAGAAGGTACACAAATAGTAAGAAACTTTCTTGAAAAATATAAACAATTTTTGACAAGTTTCACTACATTTTCCCTGATGTTTTAGACTGCTACATGCAGGAGAAACATTATGCAGTATAAGCCCACACATGCCCATAGGTATATAATTTGATATAATGCAGCACTGAATTTGATTTTCTGACTTTGTATAATATCTAGAATAATTTCAGTACTGAATGCCTTACACTCAGAGCTTATATTAAAGTTACTTTTCTTTATAATGTACAATTTTGTAATCAGAATTTTACCTAGGGGTATATATAGATGGTGGTTCTTCTGTACCATTTGTTTACTGTATATCAGGGTGGGATTCAAATTTCTTAACAATCGATTTTGTGGGTGTGACATAATTTGTGGGTGTGGCTTGGTGGTCATGTGACTGGGTGGGCATGGCGTGTATGTAAATATTATAAATATTTATGTAAATATTGATTTTTTTATAAAAAAGAGCAACTTTTACCCAAAAGCAGGCAAAGCAAGCAGGCAGGCAGATTGAGCTGCTCACAAAATCACAGATTCACTTACGGATCTATCTATCTGCAATCGGCTGAATCTGTCACATAAAATTTGCTTGCAAGCAAACTCATAAAATTTGCTAACAAGCAAACTCACAAAATTAACTCACAACACACCATGTATGTAAATATTGAATTTTTTATTTAAAAAAAGAACAACTTTTACCCAAAAGCAGGCAAAACAGGCAGGCAGATTGAGTTGCTCACAGAATCACAGATTCACTTAGAGATCTATCTGCAATCGGCTACCTGAGTTTGCACTGAAAAGTAGAAGCTTCAGTCCTAAGGAAGGTTTGGCCAGTGGAGCAATTTGCCGGTTTTCCAAACTGCGGACAATCATAACACGTGTGTGTGCAGCCTTTGCAAGAAATAATCAGCTGTGCCACCTGGACAGCTGACAAGTGCTGCGCACAGGTGTGCAGCATTTGAAAATCCTCTTGTTTCCTGCTTTTTCAACCTCAGCGGTGCTGCGCAGAGCAGCCAAGGAGGGAAAAGCAGGGAATAAAGGACAGCCTAGAGCCCAGGCAGGCAGGTGGGCCAAACACCGAACCTATTTGGTGTCAGCTGTTCTTCGCAGCTACTGGTTCTATAGAACTGGGCCGAACCGGTAGCATCCCATCCCTGCTTTATGTATGCATTAGTTGAAACTGAATATATTTCAATTTCTACTTATTTAAATAAGAATTTAGTCATGATTTACTTATTAATTTCAGTGAATTTTCCTTAAACATTATTAAACAAAATAAGCATTAAAGATTGGAAGGGAGGCTGTTTTTTTTAAATTACCCTAACCCTAATAATTCACCTGGTATTTGAGACCATTTTATGGAAGAATCTTAAACCATTGCCGATAGTGTTTTGGAAGCAATGTTACAAAATCTCCAAAGCAAACAAAAATGCTCTTTTGTTTTATATTCTTTCTGTTCCACATCCTCAATCCCCTGCAGAATCTTGTTGGAGCAGAGTGGATGGCGTGGTCCATACTGTCTCCTTCAGAAGCAATCGCTTTCGAAGATAATATTAGAGAAAAATATTCTCATATTTCAGTCATGATATTTAATTGTTCTAAAGAAACAATGTGTTCAATCTCATCCGTAGCTGCAGGTTTGATGGGTAGATGGAACTGCATTATGGATCACTAGCTGCCTGCTTTCCTCTATGAGCAGGGTCCAAACAGAATCTCTCTATTAATTTTCTGAAAGAATGAAACAGCTTGATGGTATATTTTGATTTTGATTTTATTTTTTTAACATCCGTGCCATCTATTGCTTTTACCAGGTTGCAGAAGGTCAAGAAATTTGCGTGATCGAAGCTATGAAAATGCAGAACAGTTTGGTGGCTTCTAAAACTGGCAAGGTATGTCTCAGTTAAGCTCCAGTGTCTTAAAATACTTGGCAGGTTGAACGTAACGCTATTTAAAGAAAGCAAAGTATTACTCAGAAAATCTGGCATTACAGGGTATTATACTGAGACTGTGATGGTATATACCAGGACTTGGACTACCAAATGTTTAAGGTCACTATTTAGTAGCAACAGCATTGTTCCTGGAATGTTCCAGCTGGGTGACCTTGGGACAGTCACTCACTCTCATTCCACCGCATGGAGTTATTGTTGTGGGGAAAACAGGAATAGGAAACTGGGTTGGGATATATTCACTGGGTTGGATATGTTGCTTGACTTATTTGTAAAAAATAATAAAGGTGGGATACAGATAAACAAATAAAATAATAATAAAATAAAAATCACTACCGGCAGACCTCAACTTCTGACTATAACTGAGGCCAAAATTTCTGTCGGTAAGCAAAGCAATTGTTGAGTTTTGCCTCATGTTGTGATTTTTTTGCCACAATTGTTAAGTGAACAATGTGGCAAATCTGGTTTCCTCCATCGACTTGGTTTATCGAATGATCACATCATTCCAGGACAATGCAACGGTCATACATACATTCCAAATGTCCAATTTTGATCAAGTGACCATGGAGACGCTACAACAATCATTAAGTGAGCAAAATAAGTTCCTTTTTTTCAGTGCTGTTGCAACTTTGAACCGTCACTAAACAAATGGTTGGAAGTTGAGGACTACCTATATTACATGTGAGATTCCAGATGAGCTTTTCCCAACCTTCATTTTAGATGTGTCCCATTATGTTTCACGAAGGATGCCTCGGACTAACTTTTGCAAAGGCCCCTTTTATGTATTGGGCACATGGGCAAATCTGTGCATTTATAGAACTGGACTAAGGCCCTTCCTTGCTTGCTACAACTGGACTAGCGTATTTTGTTTGTGCTAATGTCCTTTCTTCATAACCTCAAAACATTTGCCTGTTCATCCAGAACATTAGAATGAATGTTTAAGATTGTAAGAGGGGCAGCTGTGTAAATTGATCTAATTAATAAATAATACAGATAGCAGAATTATGTAATCTCAGGCACTGATATGAGTTTAGAAAAACCTATGAACGAAACCAAGAAAAGATGGAAAAGGCCATACGGGCTACCCCATATAGCTTCTTGCATCCTTCTTTCTACAGAATATATATAGTGTTAAAGAATGAACATTCGTTTATTGATGTGGTGTTTGGGTAGAAATGAAAACATGCAACTCGTCTAAAGATCTTCCAAAAGATATTTTTGTAGGTATCAATAATTTCACGTTTGTTTTAATCATTTAATATGGAATTGACTATGAATGAGCTTAGGAGTGTGTAAGGGACTTTGTGCAGGGCAATGCCATGAGCGATGCAAACTCTGACTCTCTTCTTTGAGGAACTGAAGCTGTCCCTTCTCCGAATAACGCACACTTCAACCCCTTCAAGGGGCTTCATAGATACACCCCTACCCTCCATTCACACACGCACACTTATATACAAAAGACACTTTGGCTAGGCAAGGTAATTAGGCAAAGCCGCTCCAATTGTTGGCAGACTCTGTTCTCTAGATATAACTAACTACAATTTAGAAATAAAAAATGTGTTTAGAACCCATGTATGTATTTATTTATTTTGTGCTACAGGTGAAAGCGGTATACTGCAAAATTGGCGATACTGTTGGGGAAGGAGATGAACTTGTGGAATTGGAATAAATCATTTCTTTCTAAACTTACCGGTCGGTCAACCAGAAATTAAAATGAATGTTTATGAAAGCAAAGGAGTTATGTAAACTCAACTATTGCTTTACTTTTTTTTTTTTTAACAAAAAAACAAAAATAAAAATGCAGTGGGTTGATCTAGGTCATCTTTCACAATTTAAATTAACATTTCACTTCACTCCATTATAAATATTTGTATATATGAAATTTGTAATTCTTTTCATTAGATCTATTTACATGAAGAAAATTAATAAAATCAACATTTTGGTGTATAAATTATGTGTGATGTTTAAAGTTTTTAAGATAAACTATTTTAAGATGTTTAAACTTTTTAAGTGTATAGATGTACGTGCATATATAGGAGACTGAAAATATTTTCTGACAATTCGTCAGTCTGTAAAATTGACGGACAAGTTTGTCAGTAAAAGTATGTTAAAAATATTTAAGGTTTTCGTACACAATCTAAACTTTTATGTAATGTGCTTGACTATAACAGTTGTTGGCGTTACGAGACTAGCTGACAAGCCTTCTCTTCTATCCAACAAAGGACAACATTGAGCTATTTTGATGCCTTTCAGATGTTACCAGATTTATACACTCAGGTGAAGGATGCAGCTGAAATGTTTGATGGAATAGCTTATCAGAGCAATTAAGGTAGCAGATGTATGGCGCAAAGAATCAAATTGCAGTTAATCAGATTTATTGCTAATGCATATACACAGGAATCTAGTCAATTAACAATCAGCAGTAAATTGGCTGTAGATAAGAATTATGGAAGTTCAAGAGAGGCTGAACTTGCTGCTGATGAGTATGTAGATTCCAGGCTAATTCCTCTCTTGACTCTGTCCCAGGCTCTGCCTCCCCTTCCTTTACAGCAGATGAAGAAGCAATGTACGATCGTCCTCCATTCTCATTATATACTGCCAAATAGATTTATTTCAAATGGAAGAGATTACATATTTCAGGTCCTATAACTCTAGAATAGTGTGATTTTTTAAAAAATACCAAAATCCATGATTTCTAAACTTTTGAACAAGTTATCTTAGTTGAAACCAGTAGCAATATAAGAATTTTGTCAAATTTTAACTCATCATTACTATACAATTTACAGTTTTAAGAAGATTCATATTAAGAAAAGCAGTATATGAAAATTATATACAGTATTGCAAGAAGTCAATGGCAAAAAAGAAATAGATACATCACTGATATAAAAAGATGATAAAAATACAAGAATGCTGATGGTTCAGAACTTTCAACCTATATGCAATGCAGTTTTAAATAGCTGAAGAAGACATTAGGAGGCAATTTATATGTACTAAAATCAATAGCTGGGTAGAAATATTCATTAATCAGAAATGGGCTGTAAGGAATGAAAAAATAAGGCATATCAGTATCACTTTTGCCTCCTCTTCCATTCATGTCCTTCCCCCCATTCATTCATTCCACATTTTGAGAAGTGATAGGTTTACCTGAATATTGGTAATATTCTAACATAATTGAAATATATAAGTTACCCTGTTTAACCTTGGCAAGACAAATGCTTCATCTCATGAGTGCTGGCGTTCGGATTGTTCTTTCATTATCTTGTTCACTTGGACATTCACTTAATAAGTTAATTCAATTATATTCTGAAGAGGTAAATTAGGACTGCATTTCAACATAAAATGGTAAAGATGTTCTTCAGCGCCTGGGTGTGTTCATAGCTAAAAGTATTGTTTGATTTTTCACTTTTATTCTCTGCTTTCTCGCAAGACGTACATAAGATTATGCTTCCCAAAAGAATCATAGTTATCGTAGTAAGGGAGATGGATCCATTCTGGCTGATAAGTCGTAGTGCTATACACATAACATTCCAGGATGTTTTTATTTGCTGATGTTCCTTCAGACGTGCTATTTTTATTTTCCCACTCTAGTACCTCAATTTTCAGTGGAGTACGCTGATACATGTTTGGGCATCCTTCAAATTCATCAAGGAATTGCAACATCTGATCATCAACAAAATATATTTCTCCAGTAACACGGTGCCCCTTTCCTGGATTATTCAGCAAATAAGGGATATTATATTTGCCTGCAATCACTAGTGGGTATTTCTCCACTGTAAGTCCTCTGCCGTGGAATTGGGATGCCCCGTGAACCCCATTTATCATGTGTGGATAGTTTGGCTGGCCTTTCTTTAGTGTCCCATAGACGAAGACACGGACCATTCTTCCAAATGAAGGGACTGAAAGAAAGAAAGCAAGAAAGCATTAATATTTGTATTTTGCATTAGCAGGCTTTTTACATTTCTCTCTGTCAGCAATAAATACACTTGTTTAAAACAAAACAACAGTATAAACTGTTCCTTCTCACATTTGTATTAAAATTTGCAAAAACTTATCACTATAATGAATGTAACGTGCAGTTGATTATCGTTATGCATATTAGACAACTTTCTAGTTAGTTTCTTTATAAAGTTCTGTTGGGTCTCACAACTGCATTAAAAAGTCCTATGATTTGGGTGAAGCAGCCATACACATGATTCCAGTGCTTTCTGTACCTACAATCTGAGCTAATAAAGATCACTTCTCTCTCCATCCAGTCAAGCAACTATGCCCAGTTGAGAATGGTTTAGCACATTCCTCCAAAGAAGCCACTTATTACAAACTATTATTAAAGATCTTTACATTTCTAATCTCTACAAATGTTCAGTAAAAGAATATTGACAACTCAGCAAAGATCAAGACAGTTTCAAGAACCTAAGTCCGTGGTGGCGAACCTGTGGCATGAACGCCACAGGTGGCACGCAGAGCCATCTGTGCAGGCACAAGAGCCCCAGCCAAACTTACCTCACTGCACATGTGTGCACCTCCCAGTTGATTTTCGGCCCATTTGAGGCCTTTTTTTCCTCCTAGAGGCTTGAGGGAAGCCTCTGCAGCCTCTGGAGGCAGAAAAACAGGCCTGTTTCGTCACTTCCTGTATTTCCAGAAATACCAGAAGTGACGAAATGGGCCCATTTTTTGGCCTCCAAACGGCTGCAGAGGCTTCCCTTGAGCCTCTGGGAGGCCAAAAATCAACTGGGAGGTGCACACATGCCCTGTGCAGGTAAGGGGGCAGAGGTGGGGGGATCGCCTGCACGTGCGCAAGGGGGCCTCGTGCATTGCCTTCTGGGTGCTGGCATACGAGTGCGAGCACAATTTTCGGCACAGGAGCCCAAAAAGGTTAGCCACCACTAACCTAGGTCTTCAGAATCATAACTTTTCTTTTAAATAATTAAACAGAACAAAGGAAACAAACAGAACAAGAAATTAAAAGGAACAAAAGCAAAATAACAAAAAAAAATCAGATATAAGGACTTTTCATACTTCTTAAAAAAAGTAAAATTCTACTTGAGTTATAATAAAGAATGAGTCGGTTTGGTCTAATAGGCACCAGGCCAGAAAACAGGAAACTCTGAGTTCAATTCCTACCTTAAGCATGAAAGCCAATTAGGTGACTTTGGGTCAGTGAGTCTCTCTCATCCCAATTCATATTAACTCCGAATAACAGAATTGGAAAGGACGTCAGAGGTCTTCTAGTCCAACCCTTGCTCAGGCAGAAGACCATTACGGACAAATGATTGCCCAATCTCTTCACTGGCCTGAAGTTAAGTAAAGCATCTATAAACTTATTACTAGTCAAGTAACTTCACAACAAGCACATGAACAGGAGGGTCCATTAAGCAGTGAATAAAAAAAACAGAATTTACAAGCTTCCCAGTTGGCTTCTAACAACCAAAACAATAAAAGTTTACAGGGAATTACAGGGAATGTGTATTTCTTGTGGGAAAAATGGGCAGAGGAAGGAATAGTTTGCATGTTTTCCATCTTATTTATAAAAATAATAAAGATAGGATTTTTTTTTTAAAGTAAATTATCTGATTGTAATCCTCCAGACATAATTTATGTCTGTGAACAGTTTGCTCAGAGGTTGAAAGTCATATCAGATCTTCAGCCCGCTGACCTTTAGGGCCATTTCTCTTTTCAGTATTGAAGGATGAAGGGAAAGATAGACACATGGTTAGCTGTCTTTCTCTACACCTGAAAATACATGGAATAACAGGGCTCCATATACTTTTCTCACGCATAAGGCTAAGGGGTATAACATCTGGTGGCCTCTTGAGGTGCATTTTCATCCTTAAGTGAAACAAGTTCTCAAATTTCTAGTACTTCTAAGCAGGGGTGGGATTCTGTTTGCACCTATTCGCTAGAACCAGTTAACATTCTAAGCAGGAAAACCGGTTGTTAGAAGAAATTACTGGCCTAATCCTGTAAGGAAGGCAGGAAGGAAACATTCTGGTGTTGCTTACAGAAACTGCCTCTCCATTAACCCTTATTACACTCTTGGCAGGACTAGACTTCCTGTCTCAGGAACGTCTCTGGAGTTTTTTTTTCCTCCTTTGCTGGTACTTTGCTTGTGTGGAGTGACCATTTAAAGTTACAATGGCTCTGAAAAAAAGTGACTTATGACCGTTTTACACACTTATGACTGATGCAGCATCTTCACAGTCGAGAGGCCAGGCGAGGAGATGTGTGCCTCGATGTGGGTGATATTGAGTTGGCCATGCCCAGCCAATAACATGACCACCAAGCCACGTCCACCCAGTCACATGAGCAACAAGCCACGCCCACCACCTAAGCCACACCCACAGAACAGGTTGTTAAAAATTTTGAATCCCACCCCTGCTTCTAAGCATGGAGAGCACTATCAAGTCAGTGGTGGAATTCAAATTCTTTTTACTACCGGTTCTGTGGGTGTGGCTTGTGGTCATGTGACTGGGTGGGCATGGCTTGGTGGACATGTGCTTTTAAGGGGCTGCCATAAAGAAAGGGGGACAATGTATTTTCCAAAGAAGCAGAATGCAAACAAGAAGCAATGGATGGAAACTGAACAGAGAGAAGCAACCTAAAACTAAGGAGAAACTTCCTGACAGTGAGAACAATTAACCAGTGGAACTGCCTGCCTCTAGAAGTTCTGGGTACTCAATCACTGGAAGTTTTCAAGAAAAGACTGGACAGCCATTTCTCTGAAATGGTATAGGGTTCACCCCAAGGTCCCTTCTAAGTATTATTCTGACACCTTTCCCAGGATTTTTACTCAGAGTTTGGCATCCTCAGTTTTCTTGCCTGAGCTGGGGGTTGGACTAGAAGACCTCCAAGGTCCCTTTCAGCTCTTGTTAAACACATGTATATTTTATGCTCTGGACTATTGACATTGAATGCATATAAACCCTGAAAAATATGTGGTAGCCCTGGGCAAAAGAAAGGCAGAAAAACCACTCTAGGTGTAGGGACAGTGTAAAAAATTCCTCTTTCTTTCTTTCTTTCTTTCTTTCTTTCTTTCTTTCTTTCTTTCTTTCTTCTTTCTTCTCTCTCTCTCTCTCTCTCTCACACACACACACACACACACACACAGAGCACTTTACAGAGAAGCATTTTGGATGCAGCTCCTTTAAATTTCTCCAAGGCTTGAGTAGATTCCCCCACCCCCTCTGTCAGACCGCACTCCTTCTCACTCCAGCACTTTAACTCACACCGGAAAGCTGTATTTGCAGCATCCATGGGGAATCCTTGGAGAAGTTTTTAAAAGACCTGCTTCCAAAATGCATTTCTTTTACGTTGCAAAAGTGCTCCAAGGCTAGATTCATCCCCACTCCCTCTGTCAGACCACACTCTTTCTCACTCCAGGCACTTTACTCACACGGGGAAAGTGATACTTGCAGCATCCATGCCTTTCTTCCGTTTCCCTGGGGAGAAAGAGGACATGGGGAACAGAAAGCTAGGAGAGCGATAGCAAGTGAGCAACTGGGCGACCAGGTTTGGGGCCTGGCCAGCCAGGGGTTGCCACCGGTTCGGCAACCCATGCCAAATAACCGCTACCGGTTCGCCTGAATAGGTGTGAATCGGTCGAATAGCACCTCTCTATCAAGTTGCCAAGAGTCAGACACAATTGAATGGTCAAACAACAACATTTCTAATAAATGGGTACAAAATGTATTTTGAGTCATGCTGAATCAAGTTCAGCCACTGAGATTTATTTGTCAGTGAATTTAATAAGCCATACTGTTTTTAACAGAGAACAAAATGCCACTAACAGAAATAAGCGTTGAGTTTCACCTTCTCTGTGTGTATGTTATATCCCATGTTTAAAGTAGCTTTTCTAGCACAAAGGGAAAAAAGCCCTTGTATTTAAGTCACAAGATCCAGTAACACCCCCTTTTCTCCCCAGTGGTTTTGTTTAATGACAGTTCAATATACCTGATACTTTCAGGATTTTCCTCTGACAAAAACTGCTCAGGAAAGACCATATCTGTTTTTCTAGCCCAACAATGTAATCTCTAATTATCAGGTACAGAATAGCCTTTCTCAGGCTGGTGTCCTCTACTATAACCCACCCCATCACTCCAGATGGAGGTGATAACTGTAATGACTATATTCAACCATCTGGAAAAGATAATGGAGATACTTTGAAATAAGAGTGCCCAACCTTGGCAACTTTAAGGCTTGTGGATCTCAGCTTCCAGAATTCCCCAACCAGCCTGGTTGTCTGTCTGGCTGGGAATTCTGGAAGTTGAAGTCCACAGGACTTAAAAGTTGCCAAGGTTGGACGCCCCTGCTTTAAAGGGCGGATAGTGCATCTGAACCTGAGCTTAATTATACATGAACTTAATCTTCTTCCAAATCCTTTCTCTTTCCTCCCATTCATTTGTTAGAACATGTGTTGTGCATTGTAATTGTCTGTACTAACATGGGCCTTCTAACAGTCCAAAATGCTTGTAAGTGGAAAATGAAACCAATGAACCAAGCAAAATGAACAGCCAAACCCACAAAAATATTTGTAGAAAAAAAATCCAGCCAGTCTCCGGAGCTACATCTCTCCTCCCAGTGAAAAACTTAGTTTGCACATGTGGGCGTGTATGTGTCAGTTCATGGCGTGAGAAAAGTTATGCCTCTCTTGGGAAGTTGTGTGTATACATACGCCAGTTTATGGCCATGTACCTGTGAGAGTTTATTTTTTGTATCTGTCCATGCTGATAGACATGGAGTTTGCCTTAGTTGATGTACTGGTACTCTTAGGCTAAAAAACTTTTTGGGCCCTGTTTAATGAATTCTTATGCTTTCAAGCTATAATTCCCAGAATTCTTTAGAAAAACATCTAAAAATTCACGCTATTTAAGGCTTCAGAATATACTGGTTATTAATGTAG